CTCTCTCTCTCTCTCTCTCTCTCTCTCTCTCTCTCTCTCTCTCTCTCTCTCTCTCTCTCTCTCTGTCTCTCTCTCTCTCTGTCTCTCTCTCTCGCGCGCGCGCCCATGTGTGTGATCTTTTTGTTCGTTGACCAAAACGGGCAGATCTCATGTGCAACAAATTTATGTCCTGTTTTTAAGTCAGCACTGCCTCCATGCATGCAAGGTAGTTGGAGCTAGCAGTGGAGTCAAGTGTGCGTCCGTATTTGAATTGTCTGCATGTGGTCTAGAAGATACAACTATGCACTATTGAGGTGGAGGAACCAGAGTTGATGCCATGAACCCAGTGCATGCTAGCTCTTTAAGGACGGCAAGGTCAGCCAATGTGACCATTGCACATCTGCTTCTCTGCCCATTCCCCTGACTGTGTTTCCAGCCTGCGTTTCCAGCCTGCGTTTCCAGCCTGTGTTGCGGCCAGGGTTCTGCCTGCCTTTCTGCTCGTTCCCTTGTCTTCCTGCTTGCCTGCCCTTCTGTTTGTCTGCCTTGTCTGCTTGTCTGGCTTGTCTACTTTTCTGCTTTTTGCCTTGTCTGCCTGCCTGCACATAAGTCACCCACAGTCGTAGATTGTATCATTCAGACTATCAGGGATTGAACGTGTAACAGAGTTGAAGAATACTTCCTTGTAAGACTTTGACAGAGTTGAAGAATACGTCCTCCTGACATTTTGAGCTGAGTCTTATCAGACTCTTATGTGATTTTGTTTTTCTGTGTCAGCAATTAATCTCCAGCGGGAATTTGAGTGAGAAATTAATCACTGGGGTACCGCAATTGTGGGAAATCCCATCGCCATGAGCACGTGAAATCTCAATACGATAGCTCTCTGGATACTGTGTTCGTTTTTGTGTTAAGTATAACGTTGAGGAAGGGAAAGACTGTGTTGTTTTTGCTGTTAACGAAGATGTTGTTGCAAAGTTTACCGCAGTGCTCGTCAGTATACCAAACTACATGCATGGCCAACCTATGATGATTGTGCTTGTGTGTTGTGGCAATTGCAGTGAAGATCAGTGTATGGGAAGACGAGGAAGCCAAACTATTACGCTTGGGATATGTAAGTGAAGTCCACACCTTCTCGGATAAATGTCTTTCTTTTTTTTTTTTTTTTTTTTTAATTTGGACCATTTGAAAGGATTTCACACAGTCCGTCCCCAAAGTCCCGGTCCCAAGGTCCCAGTTGGTCCCGGTCCCAGGCTGTCCCGGTAGGATAGGTTGTAGGGTCCGGAGGTTGAAGCGTCCTATGCCGGCAGGTGTTTCTCAACGTCGCAGTCCGGTAAAAGTCCACCGGTAGCTGCTGAGGAAGTCAGGTCCTAATTCCAAATTTTCAGCAGCATCCAAAGAAAGTCCGGCGACTTCCGAAAACACCAATTTTGGCAAGGCAGAGGCCGCGGGCGACCGGTAGTGGTCCAAGGCAGGCACGAACGGTCAGCTGCAACTATATTTAGCCGCTAGGGTTGGAGCGACACATCTCAGTAGCATTCAGGGTGGTTCCTACGGAAGAGTGAGAGAGAGAGCTTGAGCGCAGAGCAAGGTTGTGTGATACAAGACTTGAGAGAGAGAGAGAGAGAGAGAGAGAGAGAGAGAGAGAGAGAGAGAGAGAGAGAGAGAGAGAGAGAGAGAGAGAGAGAGAGAGA